GAGGTGTCGGAGGGGGAGGAGGTAGTGGCGGAGGAGTCTGCTTGACTGGGGGTGGCTTTTTGGGGGCTGGGGGAGATTGCGGAGGGGGGAGGACTTTTCTCTGTGGGGCAGGTGATTCTGGGGGGATGACAATCTGGGGGAAAGAAGGAAAAAGGAAACAGCAAAGAAAAGGAGAGCAAACAGATAATAAACAAAAACAGGGGTCAGAATGGAGAAAATTAAATGGTAAGAGAAACAAAATTGGCACCATAAACTAAACTGTTTTAAAGTGGCTGCCAAAGACAAATACATTTTTTATTGCATGTATGAAACATCATCATTTATTAATATTGCAGTTAATTTCTGACGACCAAACAAACCTAAGGCTAAACCATCAGGAGGGACGATATATCCATGTATTCCACTGCATGGTACGGCTCAGGCTCCACTCTTTTTTGGTTTTCAATTGTCAAAGGTTGTGGATAGTACCTGGTACTTTTTCTTGCATGTGTGACACCTTGGTTGACGGTCTAAGCAAGCTGAGCCAATACTCAACGGTGGAATGAAAACCCTGCAGACCACTGATTGGTCAGAGCGACTTGTTTCTAGAATTGTCACGTGAGCGATATTGACATCCTGCACGCTGACTGAAACTTGTGACCGCAATTTTTTTTGTTCTACTTTTTAAAGGCAGCCTGAAAAACCACACCATGGTCAAGAGACGTTCCTCAGTTTGGCTCTTCATGAAAGGATCTTAAAAGGAAAGGACATCCTCCATTGTGTGATTGTGTTGCGTTGAAGATGACATGGCAGTTTCATGCTGCGAAGCTTTGACGACCAGCTAAGAATTCCGCTTATATTGAGGGGCTGCCAGGTGTAATATAAAACAAAATTGAGAAAAGGGCCTGTAAAGTACTACCAAAAGCACATCGAGTCGAGCTGAGCAATGGAAACACGGCTATAAGTTCCAACTCTTTAACAGGGTCCTAGAATAGCACTGACTCCTGCTGTGCGCCTCTAATGTCTACCTTATCCACACATGGATGGGCCCCTTCTTCCCGTGTTCGCTGTGGGTTGGACATAACGATGACTCCTTCTGTCAGCCAATCATCTGGCTGTTTACGCCTGCGCTCCGCTCGCCCAATTCCCAGTTTCCCCTGCAGCTCTTCAATGAGTCGGTCTTGCGAGTTGCTCTTATTCACAATGATCGGTCCCATTTTACGCCGCAACATTCCCTCCCTGAACATTGGATGCACATTGGAGGTCTCTTTGGTGCGCCGGATAACCGACTTGAGCTGGAGAGTAGATGATATAAGGAGGTGTGGGAAGCTGGCGTTGTGCCATTCACCAGAAAGGTCCATGTTTGGTTACAAACACAAGCAAGACGGGCCCAACACAGGGTGTCTCATTCAAGTGAACTGGCTCCAGACTTTTAAAAAATGTTTAAAATGGTGCAGAAGCTAAGGAAAGCCTTCCATTCCATTAAAAATAATGATCTACTTTCAAGTCTACTAAAAGCTACTCGTGTATCTGTGGCAGGGCATGCTGGATAGCTCAATTCAAAACAACACAAGTCTACCACAAAATGCTTGCACAGAAGTCTGCACATGCCAAAGCAAGGCCAACTATCAAACAAGAAAAGTTCTTGTGTGCTTTGTAGGTACATGTGCACATTCTTGGTGCAAATATCCATGAGCTAAAAAGAAGAAAATCTCCACCCAACTGTTTTTGTATTGACACCACATCAGTGATTAAAAACACATTTTTGCATCATCCATCGGTTACGTAAACATGACAGGCCAGACCCTGTGACTAACACAGCAATGTCGACTGAGGCTTGTAGGGGCGTGCAGAAACATCCTTTCAGCAAAGCTTTCAACTTCAGCCACAAATAGTCTCTGCAGGGAGATTTCTCCCTCAAGCCATTTTGCAATTGCTATGCAATGACACCACATGCATCACACTTTTCTCTTCATCAAGACACTTTGTGTTTTTGTACATTTGCACAGCTCCTTGAGTATTTGTAGGAGCTGCTCTCCCAAAATAAGCTCATTTCGGCAACTAGAGATTGCCAGAGAAACACTCTGTTTGAACAATTATCTGACACAGCCGTTCTGCCATTATTGTCAGGGATAATTAATATCTTAGGCCACATGGCCAAATAACAGAAAGACCACATGGGGTAATAAAGCCTCTCTAGCTTTATGCCAGCAGCTTATTTTGGGAGAGTCAAGTTGAGCGTCCTACTTGGCCAGAAGCAGATAGTCGCTCAACAGCAGAGGGTTGCTGTGTGGGCAGCTCCAGCGTTGCATCTGGTGTCCCGGGGCAGGTGGAGGGGGTGAAACACTCATCCATCCAGCTGGACTCAGTCATGGGTGTCAGGGTTCCCTCTCGACTGAGATCAGGGTAAATTCCATCCTCCTCCTCCCAAGATCTATCTTCATCTCCAAGCATAACAAAGGCAAGTTGCTGGTTCTCATTCGGTTGGGTGGAGTAGAGTTTGTCTAAAGCATCATCCAGTAAAGGCTCCCGGCATGGCCATGTTAAATCCAGTATTTCACCTCCCTGCTTTTCTGTAGGGGAAGACCTAGACCTTCCTAGACCCAGGGGAAGGCTATTTGATGGTATAGCAGCAAGCTGAACCGGTGAAGCTCTGGGACTGCTGGTGCCTGGAACTGTGTAAGTTTTTCTGGCGACTAAAGCAGGACTCTTAAGAACTGCAGTTTCACTCTTGGGAATTGTTACTGGACTTGAACGCCTTGGGAGTATTACTGAGCAATCATTCTTTGGCAATGTTTCAGGACTTAAACTCTTGGGTACACTTGCTGAACTAGAGATATTAGGTACTGTCACAGGACTTGCAATCTTTGGAACTGGACTTGAAAGTCTTGGAATTGACACTGGACTAGCACTTTTGGGAACTGTTTCTGGACTAGCACTCTTTGGGATGGTTACGGGACAAGTGATATTAGGGACTGTCACAGGACTTGCACTTTTTGGAACTGGACTTAAAAGCCTAGGAACTGTGACTGGACTAGCAGTCTTCGCCTCTGGACTATGACTAATAGGAAGTGGACTGTAGCTTTTAGGGATTGGGCTTGGACTCTTGTAAGGCTGATTTAGATTGAAGCCTTTAAGATCAGGTGGACTAGGGCTCTTGGCTCTAAGAATGGGATTAGGGTTAATAGACACAGTAACAGGACTAGGGCTCTTGCAAACGACTACTGGACTAAAGCTCCTGGCAGCAGTTACTGGACTAGAACTTCTGCCAACAGTAAGTGGACTTAATCTCTTTCCAAATGGACTTGAGACTTTACTAGTAGAGACTTTAGTGACTGACATATGTGTAGGGCTGATGGCTTCATTTTGACTAGGAGGCTTTATGGTACTAGAGATACTGAGGCTCTCCACATGAGAAATCTCAGAGGTTACACTGCTGGCATTATCCATCTGTTGGATCTGGGAGTACTGAAGGCTCTTGGACGATGCAATCAGTACAGTGGAACCTGCTGGAGATGTAGGGGCTGAGCAACCATCTTCATCTATATGTAGTTCCAGTGGAAGAGGGGTACAGGAGGGAGTAGTGTAACTAGAAGGTAAAAGAGTATCCATGGAACCAATATTAGGATTTATAGATGGGGCGGCCACTGCTTGGACAACTTCTGAACCAGCTACCAATGAAGGGTCTACTGCCTCTTGATTCACAGACAACTGAGAGCCAGACTGAATTAGGTGCATTAATGTAATGATCGCAATGTCCAAACAAAAACAAGACATACACAGTGGTAGAGAAAAGAGAAAAAGACCGGGAAAAACACATTGAGAATGAAGGGAAAGAACAGAAAGTTGTCTCACATACAAAGCCAAGCAAGGGCACAGTTCACTCAAATCTTCTCTGCAATCTCAAGTCTTAAAGTAATCCCTTCTAAAATATTACAAAACTTAACCTAAAATAAATAAAATACTTTTCTTCATAACATTTATCGCTATGTGATAATGGGCTTTAATGGGATACTAAATTGATGAAATGATTGCATTTTGTTATGTTGTCAATATGTTGATTTTGCTTTTTCAACCCACCAACTTCCTCCAATATTGCAAGCTTGCAACAAAATGTAAGGAAATTTGCAAATGTAGCACAAAAATGTGTAAATGTCATCCGAGACATGGTTTTGGTTATGTGTCACAACAAGTACAATCTAAGTTTAAAGCTGGTAACTACTCTATTACTTTGGTTACTACTATTACTGGTCAGTTAAAAAATATTTTTTTTCAAACAAAGCTGATCAAGCTGGTCCAAAAAAATCCAATAATCCATTTGACATTACAAATTAACAAAAATAAAAAAAAGACTGGTCTGATCCAATGCTTTTTCACAATTAATTCAACAGTCTTGCAAACCCCAAAACATCTTCAGCACAGTCCTAAACAGATGCACAATACCAAAAATAAACATCCTCCATTAAGTGTGCAAATCCCAATGACCCAAAATCCACCCACTTGTGAAACACACTCACGTTGCTTTGGACTTTGAAGTCAGACAGGGAGGCCATTAGCTCATCCAGCTCCCGTGTGGCAGAGGAGGCAGACATTCTGGCTTGCTGCTGTGCTGGGGTTTCCTCTAGTCCACCTGTTTGTTCGTCTGACACAACCAGCGGTGTGGGACTAAAGAAGAAAAGAACATGATCAACTCTATGTGTGGGCCTTCCACGTTAAATGTCAACATATAACATTCTTGAGCACGTATTTAAAACAACTGCATGCAATGACATCATTTCTATGTTCCTTTCATGATTTGTCCCTTACATGGGTGAGGGCACAGAACTTTCCAGCTCATCCAGAAGGCTCTCTACACTTGGTCGTACATCCTCTATTCCTCGAGCTGCTGTACTGCGTTTGGGCTTCTCCATTGTGGGTGGAGCAACCTTGCCTGCAGTAGAGACTCCATTCTCCTGGATATGGTGGATGACACTGCTGGCAGGCAGTGGGGGAGCTGCTTCTTCTATTACAGAAAAAAATGCAACATGAGTTTCCTTCATGGGTCCACAGTGCATTGTTGAGTACACTGAAAACACCAAAATACAGAGGAGGGAACAGAAAATACCACAAAAACAGAAGTGCCAAATTTAGGTAGTGATATGTGAGTTCTTTCAGAGAAACATAACCATGTAATAAACTGCAAAGTAATCTCTGTGTACCTTCTGTGGCGAAGGCAGGGGTGCTTTGCTGGACAGCGTTGAGCTCCAGCAGCAGGCGGTCCAGCTCAGACAGGTTGCTGCCCAAGGAGTTCATGGCAACAGCTGATGACTCACTACTCTTCTGCTTATTAGGGAAACTGTACAGTAGAGAGGAGAAACAATATTTATCACCAACAGCGCTATGGACTTAGAATGTTGCGAAACTTTGACACTGGCATCATTTGAACAGTTTTTATGGACTGTGTTTCTGTGTGTGTGCGTGAGAGAGAGAGATGGTGCAAACAAAGTAAAGTTAACTATAGTTCCTTCACTTTTTGGGACTGTTTATAAACTGATCCAACTAACATGAACTCCAGTCCTACCTGTATACGTGGTCCTCTTCACCTATGGGTTGGGTTGGACTGCTGCTGTCTCTGGACCAGGGACTTCTCTGAGCTGAGCTGAAAGACTGAGGAGAAAAAGTAAAGTCACTACAGAGTTTTCAGAAGACCATTTGTTCACAGCTAATTTAGGCTTTTATTCATGAGGAAATCAAAAACATTTTTTCAATTGAATAATTTATCTAACTTGCCATGGGCATATACACAATAACATTTATGTGTGCAGTTACCTCTGTTTCATCTAGTCCGTTTTGCTCAGAGGGAGTGGGTGGCACATGGGGTGGAGAGCAGATGTCCTGCTGGATCTGACCCCCAACAGGGAAGGAGTAGGCGGTCTCGTCAGACAGGAAGAGCGGGCGCTTGGAAATGTGGGATGTTGTGGACTCAAGGTCCGCCAACAAAGCATCTATGAAAATACAAAACAAAGATTTTATCATCACAGGCAGAGTGCTTTACAGAAATATTAGATTTAAAGGATTTTTGCAGCAATGGGACGATGTAACTGCGTTTTTCATGTATCAAATCCACTGCATTAGCATAAAACAGACTCATCTGGCATCAATAATTGGTTGTAAACTTTTTTTTAAATTGACTATTTCATATTTAATCCCATTGCAATATAAAATTACATCCATCCCTTACAACTTAAGCTTTACAGCTTTCTACTATTTAGCACTGCAAAACTCCTAGCAGCTCATCACGAGTTAGGTTGCATACACACAGGATTTAATAATTACAGCGTCTTTTGCAATCGTTCGAAAACCCATGTGCATTGACATCAGAGGCGGTTGTAAAAGTTGAATCATGCAGACTGTCACAGCCACTCCTTTGGTTACTCATTGACCCCTGTCTGCCTGGAGCCTTGACATGTCTTAAATCCCTGTCACTGTGCGACCAGGTCATACATGCTCAAACTTACCCTGTACACGGCAACAGCTACCATCGCTGCATGAAGGGGTTGTTTAGTATTTGCAGAGGAATGCAGGCCAAGAAAACAACTACAAATTTAGCAGACCTAACCAGTAGGTAGGACACATAACATTATAGGGGATTTAATGAAGAGCGCAGACTGTATTACTGAATGGCTTATTTTAGCGTGCTCACTCACCACAGCAGTGTTTAGTTTCTCTTGCAGAATTTCACAAGTCCTAAAAAATAAAACCCTCCATTTAACAAACTTGCTCTAACAAGAAACCTCTAAACTATTACTGTTTACACATAATAACACGTTTTCCATTATTCCAACCTATATTTGAAGCTGTTAATGGCAATGGTGTTGGCAATGTAAAATTCTAAATAAAGCAAAACCAAATAAACCATAGTTAGAAACAGCAAATGTTTTGCGCAACTACATTGACGTTTTATTCTTGATTGCATAAAAAAAAAAAATCAAACTGCACTCAGCTGTGAGGTTTTAATATAGGTTACATAATACTGTAACGTTAGGGTGTACAAAACACACTTAAAATAAAGCAGTATAAAGGCTGAGAAAGACAAAACCATAGCTTAAAAAGGAAAATGGAGATAAGACGTACCTTAGGAAAAAGACAAGACGTTACACCCAGGGAAATGAAGAGGAGATAATACAGAGAGAGAAGAAGAAGAAGTGGGGGAGGAA